AAGTATGCTATTCCTAGAGGTAGAATGAAGTGGATTCCCAAAAATTCATTTCAAATAACCTGGTTGGACCCAGTAATTATAAAAAGGGTACCAGAAACATGCTAAATCTGTTTTGCAGGAACAAAATCTGGAAGTCCCTTAGTGTTCAAAACAGCAAATTTGACTCGGTTTCATAAACCTGAATGTTTTAATTGATATAAAATAGTTTTAATCGATTAAAATCATTTACAGAGAATACCGAAAAGCAATCCGTACAGCTTTAATCGATTGAAATACGAATCAATCGATTAAAATGTTCTCGAGAATTTAGTCTAGCTGTTTTAATCGATTAAAAAGGATTTATATCAGTTAAAATCACTAAGATGTCAAAATTAATCGATTCTTTCTCATTTTAATAGATTAAAATTCTGTTATCATCTTATTAAATTTTTCCAGTACAAAATTAATCGATTCTTTTATGTATTAATCGATTATTTCACTGTTACTTTTTCAAATCGAGTATTAACGATCAAATTAATAGGTTAATTTGTTGATTAATCGATTAATTTGTTCCTGAAAATCATTTTTACAACATCCAATTGAAAATTGGTCAGCAAATCAGAGTCAAAATTCCAAGTTTTTGTGTTAATCAAAATCTGTACAATACATTTAATATATTCTTTGACCAAGTCAGACTTCTTTCCAAGAACAATTTAGCTGATGTACCCACTGTCCAAAAACCTACGTCTCTGCCTTCAGTCAAGGGGACATGTACAATTAAAACTGTTTTTTTTTTTTTGCAGGTTTTGTCAAATTGGACTGCAATTCACAAAATTCGACATCTGTGACTCTTCATTTTGCTCACTTGAAGTCCATTATTCTCATTCTCCATTTTCTGGTTCAAATTTCTTCTCTATTCTTTCTTGTACTCACGTTTCAAATCCCCTCTCTAAACTATACAACAAGATGCTTAGGAGATCAAAATCAAGAAAGAAGCATAAAAGAGAATCTTCCTCTCGTCGCCAATCCTGGTGGTCATTTGGAAGCATGGTTTGATGGAGATATTGGAAGAATGAACACCTTCATTACTGAGTTCAGTCAGAAGCAGATTGTAATTCCAAAGTTTATCAAAGTCAAGTGGCTTGATGAAGAAGGATTTACTGGTCTGAGAAGAAAACTGAAAAGTAAAAAACTAAGAACCTTCATGGAGTTTACTGGGAATATTCAACCTGATTTGGTTCGGGTCTTTTACTCCAATTTAACAGTAAATGGTTCAACAATCAGATCTCAGGTGAAAGGAGTTAATATGGAAATTACTCCTTCTGTTTGGGAACAAGTTGCTGGTCTTAGGGATAATGGTGTCAAAGTATCCAGAGGGAACATCTCTGAAATACCAGACTTCAACAAAATACAATTTTACAGGTCTTGCCTTAAGGATCCAAATGATTCGTTAAGAATTTTAAATGCTGGAAAACTTTTACTTGAACATAGACTACTAGCCTTCATTGTGGCATGGATTCTTACTCCAAGAGGGAGTAATCATGTTATACTTAATGAGGGAGATATTGCCCTCATGTACTGCATTTCTAATAATATTCGGGTAAATTGGGTTTATGTGATTAAAGATCACATGTTGAAGCCAAAAAGGTTGGCGGATTACAAACTGCCGTATGCCATGTTGATTAACAATTTCTTTAGATATTTTGAAGTTGATCTTATAGGAGAAAGCATAGAAACTCCAAAAGCTTCAAATGAAATCGATGACTCCACTTTGAGAAAAATGGGATATATCAAAATTGATGATGAATGGATTTCAAAAGTTGATGTTGGGATGTCTGAAGATGAGGAAGAAGATGAGCAAGGTCAAATTCCTTCCTCTCCAGCTGCTGCAAAGGTTCCTGAATCCACTGGTGGGGAGGCATCATATGAAAACATGGAGATAATTCCCTACATGGAGCAACCTGACCGTGGGACTCCTCTGTCACAATTTGAAAGGTCCATGCTTTCTCAAATGGCCACAATGCAGGAAAATCAAAGGAAGCATATGCAAATGACCTATCAACATTTCCAGCAGACCAACAATCAGTTCACAAACCTTGGAAACCAGATTGTTGATATTTACACCAAACTGGAAGATATGTAGCTCAACCAAGGGAATTGGGATGATTGAGTTTTTTTTTTGGACAAAAAGGGTCTCTTCCTATCTTTTTCTTATGTCATATTTCTTTTACTGCTAATTATCATTTATGGTGTGTAATATTAACTGGTTTTAAACCAGGAACAAATCTTTTAACTTTGCTTAATATGATGTAGGTTTTAAGTTGAATTAAGAGAGCCTAGATAGAATCAAACATAATTCTCTGATGATTTTAGCTGATACAAAATAGATTCAATCGATTAAATCAATTAAAAGAAACACTTACATGTGAAATTCGCATCAAAATAATCGATTAATTTGCGTATTAATCGATTAAAACCTGTATGTCATATGTTTGTATCAACTAAAACTACTTTACATCAATTAAATCAGCTAAATAAGATACTATTCTGATTTTGATGGATCTATTGGTTAAAACTTACTCAATCTAGTTGATATTATCTTAAAACATTTTCCTAATAATCAATTTTACAAAATTCGCACTGAATTAGGCATTTTAGATGCATCAAACATTACTTAGTTTTTCAAAACTGGTTATTTTAATCGATAAAAACAAGTTTTAAATCGATTAAAAGCACTTATACATCATTTTTATCACTGTTTTAATCGATTAAATGTCGATTTAATCGATTAAATCAACTTATGTTTCAATTTTTCAAAATTCATCACTGTTTTAATCGATTAAAACATTATTTTAATCGATTAAAACATTATTTTAATCGATTAAAACTAGTAACAAGATCATTTTAATCAATTTCGTCCTGTTTTTAATCGATTATTACTCTGGAAAGAAAAATTAAAGACTTTAGTTAATGGTTGTTCTTGTAACATGCTACTAAAGCATGATTCCCTTATCTTTACACGTGTTAATTGTATTCATTACAAATGTGTTAATGAAGATAAGTTTGAATCAACTTTGATTGGTTTTTACATGAGTAAGGTATCTTGTTCAAGTCTTTTCCTGTTTTACAAAAACTAATACATTTCATACATAGTTTTTGTTCCTTTACTCTCTATTTTTTGATGAAGTCAAAAGGGGGAGAAATAATATTGATTTTCTTTTCTTAGGGGGAGTAGCAATATAAGGGGAGAAATGGGAAAATGATTAATTTTTGAATACTCACTAATCTATATATTCAAGTGACTTCTTCTGCAAAGTTATTATTCAAAGAGGTGTTTGTCTTCATCAAATAGGGGGAGACTGAAAGTGATGAAGATCTTATTGAATTACTTTGGCAAAAATCTTGTTGATTTGATGAAGTAAAAAATGAAGTCAAAGGCTACTTTGTGGCAGTCAAAGGTCACTTAGATAAAAGAGTAGTGGGATTAGTGAGTCTGCATCTCTGCTTAGGTATAATCATTTTTATCTCTCTGCTGCATGAGGTTTCTTCATTTAAAAGATTTTGCAAATACCTCTAAAAAATGTTTAAACGGTTAAAAACAAAGTATTTTGTTAAAAGGTTTTTAATTAACTATTTTAACTAATAGTATATAAGTTTTATCAACTAAAATGTTCTTTAACACTTTTATAACAGGTTTTTAACCGATATGTTTTCGAAATAATCGATTGTTTTCATTAGAAGGATTTTTGAAAACTTTCTGCCAGTATTTTAACCGATATAGAATTGATATAATCGATTAAAATGACTTAGAATATTTTGAAAAGTGTTCTGCAGAATTTTAATCGATACAAACTCGAATTAATCGATTGAAATAACTTGAAGTGTTTTGAAAGTTGTTCTGTCAAAATTTTAATCGATACAAATGCGAAATAATCGATTAAAACAACTAAGAGGTTTTTCCATAATGTTTTAATCGATTAAAACAAGTTTTCTATCAGTTAAAATAACCTAGAAAATTTTATGAAATATTTTGGCAGAATTATAATCGATTAAAATGCGTTTCAATCGATTAAAATAACTAAGTGAACTTTTTTCAAAGTGTTTTAATCGATTAAAACATATTGTTATCGAGTTAAAATCACTTAGAAAAGTTTATAAGAATGTTTTGCGATATTTTAATCGATTGAAAGACGAAACAATCGATTAAAACAGTTTGGAAGATTTTTTACAAAGAGTTTTAATTGATATAAACGGTGTCGTATCAGTTAAAACAAATCTGGAAAATAAACTTTTTAACAGATTAAAATAAGTTTTAATAGATTAAAAGATTATTTTAACAGATTAAATAAACCAACGAGTTTTGAAAATCTTCTATATAAACAAAATTTCTTGAACCTTTTGAAACACATCTTTTGGCAATCAATCAAGCAATCATAAGTGCTACTTTCAAGAGAGAATCGCGCTATTTTTTGTGAAGTTCATAGAAGTTCTTTCTTGAAGCAAAATTGCATTCTTTTGGAGAAGAAACACATACTGTAGAGCTGCGTAAATATGGTTTGAGCATTCTAAGTTTCTTCTATTTGTTTCTTTACTTTCTTTATTGTATTGTGGGTGCCTGGAATTGTGGGCACTGGTTTCTGTAGCTGGAATTTGGCTGCAGGGTTGGTCAAGAACTGGAATTTGGTTCTTGGTGAAGGTTTAGGTGCAGGAACTGGAATTGTGGTTCTTGTGGTAGATTGAGTGTGAGATTAAAGTTGTAATCTGTAAAACGTTCAATCTAGTGGAACCCAGCTGGAATTTGGCTGGAGACTGGACGTAGCCCTGGGATTGGGTGAACCAGTATAAATCTTGGTTGTATCTTTCTAAACCTTTCTCTCCTTTAATTTTGTCACTGCATTTAGTTTTGATTGCTTGCTGTGTGTGATTCAAGAACTGGTCAGAAATCTTAATCTTTGAAATAGATAATCTGTAAATTGCGAAAATCTTTCAAAGATCAATTCACCCCCCCTCTTGATCTCAGCCTACATTTCTAACACTTCTGTGAGTGTAACATATTCGTCTGGAGGATAGTTTGAAAAAGGCAATTTTGTCCTTGTTGATCGTTTGGGCTCAAATTGTATGTGCTCTTCTTGTATCGTCTGAGCGTCAGGATTCATCTGAGCTTCATTTGTCGTCTGATCAGGTTCTTCCATCGTCTGTTCATCAACTATCGTCTGATCAAGATTGGGCATTGTCTGAACAGGATAAGGAATCGTCTGATCAACAATGCGCTCTTTGGATTTAACTTCCCCTTTTTGTTGAAAGTCTTTAATGGTTTTGTCTTCAAAGAACACTACGTCTCTGCTTCTAACAATCTTCTTGTCCACAGGATCCCATAGTCTGAAGTCAAACTCATCTTTTGGAGATCCAAGATATATGCATTACTTAGTCTTAACATCCAACTTCTTCCTTTCATCTTTGGGAACATGAGCAAAGACTATGCATCCAAACACCTTTAGATGGTTGTAAGAAGGCTTCTTCCCATACCATAATTCCTCTGGAATCTTTCCCTTCAAAGGTCATGATGGTGAGAGATTTATTAGACCAACAATAGTCTTTATAGCTTCACCCTATAAGGACTTAAGTAGATTTGCATGATTCAACATGCATCTTACCCTCTCTTCAATGGTTATGTTCATTCTCTCAGCCACGCCATTCAAATGAGGAGTCTTTGGTGGGGTCTTTTCAAGTTTGATTCCATGAGATCGACAATATGTCTCAAATGAACCACGATACTCTCCACCATTATCTGCTCGTAAACACTCCAACTTCTTTCCAGTCTCACGATCTACCAGAGCATGGAATTCCTTAAAGGCTTGGAGAACTTGGTATTTGGTTTTCAGCAGATAGACCCATACTCTCCTAAAGTAGTCATCAATGAAGGTTACAAAATAGAATGCTCCTCAAAGGGATCTTTCAGACGGTGCGCAACGGTCTGAGTGTACTAGCTCAAGGGTTTCATTTCTCCTTGAAGGTTCGTCTGATCTTTGGAAACTTACTCTGTTTTTCTTTCCAGCCAAACAGTCAGTGCATGATTCAAGCAGTTTTCCAGTTATGCTGGGTAGATTATCTTTGGCAAGGATCTGCAATCCTTTCTCTCTCATATGGCCCAATCATTAGGTGCCAAAGATCTGAGGAGTCGTCTGCTATATTGACTTCTCCATTGCACGCTTTGCCTTGCATGATGTACAAGGATCTTTCTTTTGTTCCTTTAGTGAAAATCATGCTACCTTTGACAAGCTTCCACCTGCCAGCACCAAAGTGACTTACCAGTCCCTCATCATCTAACTTCCCAATAGAGATGAGGTTCATACACATGTCTGGTACATGTCTCACTCCCTTTATCACAAGCTTGCTCCCTGCGTCTGTCATCAAAATGACATTTCCTATGCCAACAATTTTGCTTGTGACATGATTTTCCATCTTCATTGTGCCAAAATCTCCTTTCCTGTAATTTGAGAAGTACCTTTCGTTTGGACTCACATGGAAAGATGCACCAGAATCAACAATTCACGTGCAATCACTATAAGTAACATTTAGGTAATTGTCCTCTCCGATCAGGAAGATATCCTCATTGTTTGAGACAACAGTGGTAGACTTGTCATTCTTCTTCTTGGGCTCCATTTGGTCTTCATGGATGGACTGACCCAAATTTTTGGTCTCTTATAAAATCTACACTCAGACTTTATATGACCTCCTTTGCCACAGTAGTAGTAAGTTACTTTGACACAAGACTTAGACCGGTCTTTATTCTTGCTCTTTCCTCTGTCATGAAAATCGTTCTTTCTCCGGGACTCATTTCTGCTTCATCTCTTAACAATATTTGCTTCAGACTAAAGAGATGTTTCTCTCTCCTTCCATCTGGATTCTTCATTCATTAGACTGTCGGAAACGGTGTCCATATAGAGCTTTCTGTCTGGGACGGAGTTACTGAGGGTGACCACTAACGTATCCCAACTCTCAGGCAACGAGCTATGGAGTAAAAGGGCTTGTAACTCATCGTCTAACTTCATCTCGATTTTAGACAGTTGATTTACAACACCTTTGAACACATTAAGGTGCTCCATCATACTTTGGTCATCCTTATACTCTAACTTCATCGATCGTCTGACTAGGTGAACTTTGTTTCTGAGCGTCTTCTTTTGAATCATGGATCCAAGCTTAGACCATAGCTCATAAGCATTAATGTACGTTGACACATGCTCGAACAAACTTCTATCAATATACTTCTGAATCATTGTTACGACTTTCCGATTCAAAAGCTCCCATTCTTTCTCTGTTTTCTCTTGCGGTCTTATATTACATGTTATGGGCTCATTAACTCTTTGCAGTACAAATGATCTTTCATCATGGGCTTCCAATATGAATAGTTGTCTGAGGTCAACTTGAACATATCTCCATCATGGGAAATGACTCCTTCTATCTTAAATCACATAGGCTTGAGCTCCCCTTAATCAAGCGAGCTCTGATACCACTATTGGGGAATGTCAGACTATAGAAGATTGCAGCGGAATAAAATAGATTCCCCTTCCGTCTGAGTAACTTGAAATAGGATTAGTGAAAACAGAGAAGAGAAAGAATAGTCATGCAAGAGATTTTAAGGTGGGGAACTCCTTGATGAAAAAGGAAAAAAAAAAACCCCACAAGCAAGAACTCTCTCTTTACAAGAGGATAACTCAGTCTCTCTATCTCAAAGAATTATAGATTCTCTCCTATAAGAAGGATTACAGTATCTGTCTTTGACTCTTAACTATCTGTTTCTGGAAGAAATTTGATCGATTTCGATTAAATCAGAGACTTGGGTTCTAACCAAATTTCAACCACGTAGATTCTTTTTACCTAGACTAGCAAATGGTTTTCAATCGAAACATGCATGAGAATCGTAAATCCCACGGTATTGAAAAATGCTAACAACACAACCTAGTGTGCAGATTGTCAATCGAAAGTACTATTTTTGATATTTTTTATTAAGAAGCGCGAAGTAAAAGAAGCAGCAAAGGGTATCGAAATGAAAAGCAACGCAGAATATCTAAATTGCAGAGAAATGTAAATGACAATCGAATTGAAATTGCAAAAATATAAATGGAGAAGAACTTAAACGCAGAATTTTAACTTGCATAAAGGTAAAATGACAAGGAATTGAAAGTGCAGAAACTTAAAGTTGATAAACGTAAATTGCATTAAAGTAAATTGCATGAACATAAGTTACCCGGGAAAGTAAAGAAAGCGGTAAAAACAGTCAATGAGAATGGAAATCCAGATCGCCAGAAACTTCATGATTCGTCGTTTTCCGGTAGACTTTTCACTTGTGTTTCTGTTGTCTTTGTCAATTTTCCCTTCTTCTTCAAACTTCGTTCTATTTATAGGCATCCTTCAATGTAACCTCCCAAGAGTAGTTCAAAAAACTGTCACCACGTTCCATGTGCACGTTCTTCGATTTTTTACCTTAGCTTACGGTTTAGAAAACTACTTCCACGTTCTATGTGCAATTTAACCGCTCATCGATTTCTAACCTTAGCCACGATGTAAAAAGTCACTCCTCATGTTCCATATGCATGATAACTGTTTCCCTCGATCTCGATTCCAGTTATCAAATATGATTTCCCTTAACCTTGATTTTACACTATACTTTACCATTACTTTCATCGGTTTTCCTCTCTTTTCTGATTCTCGATTTCCATTCTCGATTTATGCGTTTATACTATCTCGTGGTCACCGGGTATCTTCCAACCATCTTCTGATTTACCAATTTTTTTAACCAATCATATGATATTCGATTTTCTCTTCTATTTTTCGATCCTTGTATCAATTTCTCACTAACACTATCTCATGTAGATCTTACAAAAAATGTAACTCCTGATCTTCTCTCAAAAACTCATATTTATAGGAAGAATGAGACTTCTCAAACAAGTCATGTTAGATGATATTAATTGTCTTTATTACCCAATACAACAATGATGACTTTTTACCTTCTCAAGATGGAAAGAGCATACTTCCAATACCTTGGGTTTACTATCGTGTTAATTTTTTTCTAATGATTACTTACCATGACTTAATTAAGGAGGGGTATATCCAACACAAATAAGTTCCAAGAATTTAGGTAGTAATTTTAGAAAGAAAAATAATGATTGTCTTATTTGTAAATTGTGTTTATTTTTAATGATGTATTATTTATGCATATGGAAGAGTAAGTAGTTTTGTTGTTTGTTTTTCAATAAATATAGTAGATTTGATAACGCAGATTTAAGGGAGGGAGAATATGGGGATGCTCGATAAAATAAAGAGATAAAACGATTTTTATTTGAACCATTTTTGTTTTGATGGTTTAGAAATATGGCGTCTTGTTTCTCTATTTGGAGATCTTGTTTTCCCCTTTCCAATTGGGAGAAAACTTAAATGTTTTAATTATGGTTTGTGTATTAATTATGGAGTCTGTACAGCACAAGTTGCATTTTTTCTTATAAATTAGGTGTGAAAAGCTTTAAAAGCTTAAGAGACATTGTTATGATTTAAAAGTCTGTATTAACTATTTCAAAATAATAATAATAATAACAAAATTGTATGTATTTTCTGACATTATTCTAAAGTTCAACTTAAAATTCCAACATCCGCGTAACGTTATTCAAACACTGTGTATGTTTGAACATCTGTGTAGAGTATCTACCTCTATTAACAGTGCTATGCTATGGTGTAATTAGGTTACTTGACATCCAACACAAATGGGATATGGTGGGTTTGAAACAAGCTAGGGTTTATGATTTAAATGTACCTAAAAGTCACGCTAGGGTTTAGAATTTGCAAATGGATAGATCAGATTTGGCTAATAGTACAAATATGATCAAAGATAATAAGGTTAAATGAATAAAAACTTCAATATAAATTTAAAGTGACTTATTTATGCATCTCAGTTGTTTTTCAAAGTGTCCTCATCTAATGTAACCACAAACACTTATAGAAAAGTTCAAAACTCTTCGTCTTAAAATGTTTTTAAAAGTAAAGGGTATTATAAATTACAAACTAAGTCATTATACTAATTATATTAAATTCAATTTACTTGGATTATGCACGATTAACTTTGGCATTATTAATCTGATGCACACTAATTCAAGTTATAAATCCTATTCAACTCATCTAATCAAGCCAATTATTATGTAAACTATCTACGATATCAACCTTTCATATGAATTTTTTT